AGTTTTTTGTACCTATACAATGATATAATATCATTTACACAACTATAGTTTAAAAATTAAAGTTTGATTAGTCTTAATTTAGGTAATTATTTTAATGAATTAAGTATGTAAACATTGTAAACGTATAATTAATACAATGATACTAAATTATTTTAAACTGCCAATGTATTCTGTTTTGATGAAAAAAACTTGATCGTACGAAATTAAAAAATGCAAATTTTGATAATTTTTGAATTCGATTTGAAAATTAAGCAACACTTTTTACATACCCGAAAAACGATCTCTTTTCTTCCAATTCATTTGAAATAGCGCAACAAGCATTTGTGAACGGTTTTTGGAAAATGTTACCATAAATATAATATTTTAGTCGGGATGCGAAAACCTTGCCCATTCGTTCGACTATATTATTATAAACTACGAAATCTAAAATGAGGACAACGAACTCTTCACAAGCGTTGTATCGGAGTGATGCATCACTATATCAGATTATTACAATGCATAAGTATCAAGTTAAATTATGTTTAAATGTATAATTTTTAGTATAAACGCTGCAATTGACCCAAAACAGGTACAACAATTAGTTAGAAATGTCCTTATCTGGTATGAAATTGGGTATAGAATATAATTATTATAAAAATATTACATAGATATTGATTATACTAAAGTTTCATTGATTGAATAGAAATTATTTTTTTAACGTTCGAAAATCATGCACTTATATTAAAAAACGTTTTTCTAATCCCACATCAGTTTGATTTTCCAAGATACATAGGTAGAACGTATTTAAAGTACAACCTGTATTACGATTATATCTTTAGTGTTAGGCTGTAAGTCCATTTGCTGAGTCGCAAATATTATTTTTATTTCCTAAAATGACGTAAACCTAAAATTTTTTTCTAATTCACAAGTCTATGGGTTTTTCTGGCAAACCAAATATTTCACGACTAAAGACAATAGAGGTAACAATGATTAGGCGGACGGTTGTTGGATTCACATGACAATATGATTTTTTTTACAAATGAAAGTAGCTGGGATTACATTTCAGCCCCCAACTTTCAAAGTCGTACAACTTTGGAAGGGATTGAGCACAAACGACGGGGTTAGAAGCGCAAACTAACAAAAACGAAGCACAAACGAATGAAGTTAATTTTGTTTCGAAATCCCAGTGTGGGGCTAAGCATGTCCCTCACAGGTCACTTTCTGCTGCTGCTATCTTCAGTTTTTCGATTAAAACCAAAATACTCGGGTGCGATCTTCCCACCAGTGTTTTAAATTTATTGTTCCACCATGGGAATGCCCACATTTTAAGCTGTGTACGCAAATGCGACTATAATTCGCACGTAGTTTGACCTTCGATAATTGTGAACGCAACTGAGAAGAAAATCGCCTTGTACGCAAGTGAGACGTTGGTACGCATCTGCACCGACACCGGCTAATTTACTGATAAAGTAATAAGTTTTAAATGAGTTCCAAAATTGCGGCGTAGCATACCAATTATCTAAAGTGCCCTAGCTTAACTGGAGTTCCAAAAACAGTTTGACTGTAGGAGCATAGAACGTAAACCGAGTACAGAGTAATATTGATATGAGGAATCTCGTGATCAGTTTTAAAATCTTAGATATAAATAGACAATTTTTACGAATTGCTAATACGAAATAATTTGCAAACTTTTATGGTTTTGACGAGTTTTGTCGATAAAAATTTTATCTTTCGGTCAAAATATTTGATCCTTAATTCAAGAAGCCTTATAAGTTGTTGTTAGTGGAAATTAAAAAAGAAGTTGAGTGTAAGTTCGCAATAATTTTTATGAGCGCCTGAAGTAAAATTTTGAAAAATATTCATCAAAATCATGAAAATTTTGAGTAAGTAATTTTAAAAAAAAAGTAACCGAGATTTGAAAATGTTGTACAATATTCCTCATAAATTTTTCCACTATGAATGAAAAAAAAATTACTGGAAAACCAAATCAATTTTTGACGAGCGATAGGAATTCTTTGTTTCGTACATAATATAATAGAAAACCTTAAAATAATTTTAAATTTCTGAATTTTTAAACTTGATGCCTATACTTTGTAGCTACAGAATAGTGCAGCCCATGACATAAAATCCAAAATGTAAGAAAATATTAAGGTTAATATTCTCTTACTTCATAATGTGATCAGTTTTATAATAATTTCTATTATCGTTAAAGAATAGAAAAACTAAGATGATATTTTTATTTTTATTTAGACACTGYATTATATGTATCGGAATATTAAAAATTAATAGATAGGTACCCTAGATGCAAGAATATCCGCTACTCAAATATAATATAAAATCTATTAAACATTTTAATTAAAATATACAATTGTCAGAAATGATTTTGTTTCATCAATCTTCTGAACACACTTTATTAGAACACAATAGGTATACCATTGGAAATTGTTTTCATAGTTCAATATCACACCAATCTTGCAATAATATAATAGTATGATGGACAAATAAGTTGGCTTAGGTATAATTAAAAAAAAATAACGGTGGAGGTCGTTGGCACGCAGGAGGATCTCCGCTGCGAGTTGGGCGTGATGGTGATGAACTGATGAGGTTATTATATCATTGAGGTGGTGGGAAATTCATGAAAAAGATATCTGTCTGCTATATAACCCATGTCGATATACGAAAATATTAATGTCAAGCAGTATCTACGATAGTCGACTACTAAGTTGAATTTATTATACTTATAATAAGTGCAAATCTAAGGATTTGTATTTTATCGTTACTATTCGTGTTTTTTTCTTTAGCTGCACTTTGGTCGAAATGAAGTTTCTAGTGAGTATATACCTTCATTAATATTAAATAATTATTTAATCGCGGTAAATTCACCTAGCCATATTTAACAGTTTTGAAATCGATCATATATTTGCGTCTATTTGGCTATAAATTATATAATATTAGACTAGAACGTACTATAGTGTGTGTAGAGTACTAGTGTAGGACGTAGGTACGATGTACCTACTACCTATACTTGTATAGATATTCTTATTTTATAATGTAATATTTATAATAGTAGTTAGTAAGTAGTTAATAGTCTATACTATATATAGTACTGAATACTGATTATGTTGCCATGTTAGATGAAAAAAAAAAATTGGGGAGTAGCTCTGCTGTATATAGTGGGTTGGTATCGAGTGTAGATTGTATCACACCATTGAGTATATCTACCTATCTAAGTAGTCAGTTAATTAAATTTGAATTCGATCATAACATATTATAAAAAACAATTTTAAGTGGAAGCTGTCTGTCATACTATTTTACTGKAGATATCGTGTTAATAATCTGTTTTATTTCTATTTATATTTATAATTTGTAATTTATTTTTCCATTAGTAATCAGTATTCAGTAGGTATCTAGGTTGAATTTTCACAAAAAAAATCACTGATTTTATCGTATTATTAATTATTGTGTAACAATATATTAGTGTTGTAAATGTAGGTATATCATAATTAATTAACTTTTGAGTCAATACTGATGTATATTGTAGAACGTTGTGAACAGAAACTAAATAGTTTAAAATAAGTAAAAATATTTCAAAAATGTTGTCATAATATGTACTATAAATAATAATATAATATATGAAAAGTAACTACGAATTCGGAATTACATTTTCAAATCTTAACAAAAAAAACTATAGTTGTTATTTATATATATATATATGCAATATAGGTATAGGTATCTAACTAATATTGATGGCTACATAACATTTTAATTTCAAGTGGGTAGTAATTTCATTCCTATTTACAATTTATCACTATTCAGTATTCACTACTGTTTTTGCCACCATGCCAATAAGGCAATAACATACTTGAATAAAAAAATAGTTTTCAAGTTTCCGCCGGTGGGGCATAGGCTACACCACCCGTGCGCACGCCTATGGCAATACCTATTGTGCCCAAAGGTGTTTTCATGTTTTCATTATATGCGCCCAAACGCGTTAACAATTTTCAGGTAAATTATTTATACTGCGCCCAAACGGGTTCTCCCCCATTGAACAAATTTACGCAGGTCAATTTGGTGATTGGGGAAAAAAGTACCTTTTTTATTTTGGCACAAATTAAATATACTCAAACGATTACCTTTTTGTTTTGCCTGAATGGGCAATGCCTAAAAAAATAATTTATGATTATCAGATCTTAAATATTGAAAAAAATAAATATTTTTATTTATCCTTTTTATCCCTTCGATTGACCACCACTGTAGGATCTAGAACTATTCGCCGTGACCGTTTCCATAAGACCATTATTAATAGCTTTGCAAAAAGTTCCATCGCGGCAATGTCAAAACCATTTCGTATTATTAAAATTAACATAATCATTAACATACATAAAATCATTACACACAAATATTTCACGACCATGAGTCGACATACCTGAGGTTCTATTTAATACAATCTATTATGTTACTATTACTGACAACTGACAGCCTAAATTACTGCGCGCGAGGTGTGTCGCTACATGAGAACTGATTGAAACGTTATTGCCGCAATAATAATATTGTAATCGTGATCATCGTCGATTCCTGATCTATACAAGTAAAATCCAATAATACCAATAATAGGATAACGCAACATTATATGGTAAAAGCGAATTTCATGACTTGTTGTATTCAAATTTTAGTCATTTGACTGTACACGATTACCCGACCACAGCTATATCTGTCCCATTTTGATCGCTGCAGTATTCATAATTCAGTATAGTATTATTTAGTTTATTATAATAAACTTCTAAGTGTGGACAGTCAGGAGCGGGTTGGGAGGTAAACGGGCTCAACCAATCTCTATGAAAACCTAGTTTTTCAGGAAGTTTATGAAAATATCAAATATATTATATTATAAATTATAACATGCCTACCTACTTGTTCAGTTGCTTTCGGTGGCCCATATACGACATGTTTATGCATGCTACGACACACTAGCATACCTGGCCAGTCAGTGACGTGACTTGGAATTGGTTCTGGGGTGGTAAATTTATATAAAGTGGGAGGGCTATGTCCCCACACCCCCTAGATCATCAAATTTCATACATCATATTGGATCATAGTATTATATTAATTTTTTAATATAAATTAAACGAGGTAAATGGTATTATAATGGCTTTCAAAGTTATCTCTTAACTATCACGAGCCATACAATTTTCTTGTCATATATTATAATTGTTGATGAGGTATCGTAGTTTTAAATATTAGTAAAATAAAAATCTTAACTATGAATTTCTATTTCTATTATTCTAAAATTTTGAAATCTTTTAAAGCCAAGTGCTTACGGGGATTTAATCTGCACGGTTATTTAAGAAAAATTCTCTGGGCAGATATATAGGTATCCTTGTCCATGAGGCAAAATAGACTTTCCAAAATATTCTCGTTTTGACTGGAAATTAGTAGGCGTACCCAYTCCCGCCCACCATAGTAAACAATATATTGTTTGAAACATTATGCTAACATTTACGATATCATGTTATATCAATAAACAGGTGGCAATGGCCGTTTATTGCGTCTTGTCTGCGGCGGCGGTGCACTCGGCACCAACGCCTGGATTCATATCGCCCGTGATCCTGCCCAAAGTGCACGTGGCGTCACCGGACGTGACGGTCGTCAAACAGCCGTACGTGGTGCAGCAAGCCGAACCGGTGTTCAGACACGTCTACTACGCCGGCGACTCGGTGCCGATGGCTGCCGTGCCGTACGTGTCGCATCATCACGTGCAGACCTACCACCAACAGCCAGCCGTACTCGCCGCCTACCACACGGCACCCGCGTACGCACCTGCAGCCGTCAGCTACGTCGTTTGAGCTTCGGCGTCCGATTGTCGTCGTCGTCGTCACCGTCACCATCATAATAATATTATTATATTACATATTATATTTCACGCACATGATTTGCGTGTCTGATTCGATCAACGTGTACCGTAGCTCGCACCTACGTAGTACCWAATGACGATGTCCTTGCATTCGACGACACCGACGAAAATATTATATAAAATTATTATTTATTAACAGTGCAGCACCGATGATTATATTATATTCATGATAGGCGTTAATATAGGTCGTGCCCCGCGCGTGATGTACGCGAATAATATAATTAAATGCGAACATTTTTTTCATTTATATTTTATTTACAAATACAATAACACAACAATAATTTTTCAACATTTTTTTTTTCGATTGACGGAAGAACTAAAATTATAATAAAATTAGATAATAATAATAATAATAATATTTTTTTTTAATTTTGTGCGGTGGGCCTAATTTAAACATGTATACATATTTATATATATAATATGCTATGTATATTATACACACACATAAATATATATATTWAATTTTTTATTTGAGTAGGTAATAAACATTATAATGAAATAAAATGTTCGATTAATTCATATAATAATTTAATGATAACGATTGTACTAAATTGAAAACATAACCGGGTGGTTTCTTTTTAAATTTAAAAACTTATTCTAAAATTTCTAAGGTACCTACATGAGCACGACATTTTCCGTATTTTAATAATGATTATAAGATAACCTAATATAGTACTTAGAATGTATGTATATAATTGTTTTTTTTTTTTTAAAACATATTTTTACGATTTATGTTAGGTACTTGTGTGGCACACAAGACAACATAGTTAACGGTTTTCAATTTTTAATTTTTCCAAAAGAACTAGGACTATATTAATGATACTACAATAGATTGTTTATCGTTAATGTTTAACATTATTTTCAACAATAGTTTCAATGATTTCATTAGGGAATTCCGAACATGAACAAAAATACGAGACTAGATTTTTTGGGACCATTATTCTTATTAATCTAAACTTGGAAATTCAACCATCGAATAATTGAAACCGTATTCCTAGACCACTTCAATACATCTAATGAATACAATTAATTAGATTTTATTTCACAGTTCGTCGTCGTTACACAATAACAATTTATTGTCGTTCACGCGTTGACTATTATATAATATTATTTATTCTCAAAATGTCCAATGTACATATTAAGCATAAAAATAATCATTATTTACTTATCCTATGTGCTCGAACAAAGTAAATGATTCGTGGTTATGTAATCTGCAGTTAGGAGGTCTAAATTGTTTGGTTCAAATATCACTAATGAGATCAAATGGAGAAATGTTAACAATTCATAATAAAATCTATTGAAATTTGAAAGAAGAAAATAATTTAAATGAAATTGAGCTTTGAGCTTTTAATATGTACGATTTGTAATATAACCTTAAGTTGGTGCATAATCATTAAAACARACATGGTCTATATATCATATATATTTAAATATTTAATATATATAAGTCAACGTAACGTGGATAAATTTCATAATACGTATCCCAAATGTATGGTGTCTAATAACAATATTAGTACAGATGGTTAAAAGAATTATTTACCATGGTTGTTGTATCGATGTTTGTAGTTTAATTACCGATAATAATAAACAGCCCAAATCCGGTATATTTTATTTTTTAATTGTGACAAAATGTTTCAGTTTCGTTTTAATTATTATTTACACGAAACAAAAGACTGTAATAAATTCTAATTTTATGTAATAAATAAAGTAGGAACATACCAATAAGGTAATGAGAATTATTTAAGAAATAATCTAACTTGATCATAAACATAATTTCTTCGACCCTCGGCCGGCAGATCCTTTCCATACCATTGGTAACAAGGACATCATAGAAATCCCCAATCAGATTTTAAAAAAGGAATCCTAGAAGTCAGTGATATTTATCACATTCCTCATTAATTGGGTATTTTTATGCATGAACATTTTTTTTTAAGAGTGATTGTCCCGCGTTTTTATTCATTTTTTATCCTTTTTTTCTCCTTTTCTCACCATTGTCCTTGTTTCAAACTGCTCCTGATTCGATTTTTTTTTTCGTGGCAATGTTGATGATTCTCCCAATTCCCTGGGCTTCCACACTGGAGAACCTGTGGAATAATATACATGAAAATACCATGATAAATATCTCTTGAATTATCAATTTGAAAAAATCATAACACCTAACGTATTTAATACAACCAACAGGTTATTTATAAACAATAAGACATTAACATTATTAATTTCTATATCTTTCAGAATTTGTTTGCCCGGTGGAGTGAACTCTACCGTCATCCCCTCCTATGTTACTTTCATGAGTTCACTCTACCAAAATATGTGACCCATAGCCTTGGCTAACATTATAACGGGTCTAACCTATTCTCAGTGGGTAGCGCGATTTTTAGTAATCCTGGTGCAGATCCGTCTTACCGAGGTCCTGCACCTGAGGTGGTTGATAATTTTCTGGTTGCTGTGATCTTTCCACCAGCCTGGCAGCCTGACTGCCAGTACTACTTGCTGATAATGTAGACGTGGTRCTAAGCATTAAGTAGTTGGGCGTTTTTCCTAGACTACCGTGCATTGGAAGTCCTTTAGATGGTCCAGGTTGACTACAGCTATCATCTTCACCTTCGGATTTTTGTTCGTCAACTTTTCGTTCTTCTGAAAACAATCCAATATATTAATATTTTATTATTGATTATATACAATGAAATATTATATGATATTTTATAATATAAATAAAATAATAAAATATAGTGTTATTCATTATAATAACTGTAATTTATAAAAATATTATATTTATTTTATGTTTATGTGTAGGTATATTCATATTTTTTTTTACCTCTGTTTCTAGAAATTCTATAATTTGGCAAAATAGTTTGAGTCCCTGCTGTATCCGTTGTAGAATCAGTTGACGATGTTCCTTGATTCCTTAATTCCACTTTAGTTATGGTATTCCCTGAAGAATGTCTTTGAGGTGGTTTTGGAGGTATTTTTTTAGGTTTTCCAAGTGTTTGAGATCCTTGAGCTAAGTTTGAAGTATCGGGCGTTTTATGATCCTCTGATATCAGTTGCAAACCTTAAAATACATTTCAACATTAATGAAAACGTAGGAAAAAATGTACAAATATTATTTACCTCCAGTATTAATTGTTTGTCTTCCTAATGTTGCAGTATTGCTAACTAGTTGAGCAGGGGAATTAGTGGATGGTTTGGCAGTAGGGATGCTCATGTTTCGTACGCTCTCACGAATTATCTGGCGTATAGTTTTTAAGAATGCATTTCTGAATTCGGCAGTGCTAAATAAATGTATTTTGCTATTAATGAAAAATTACATTCCGAGAGTTTAATTATCTTTTAACATTTAACATACCTATTGGAAAGTACATAAATCTTTTCTGCTCTCCTGTGAGATTGACTACGTAAATGGATCAATTCCCATAAGAAATGTGTCTCCATATCTTTGGCAGAACTTGCTCTAACTTGTACTTCAGTTACTGGTATCAGAACTTGATATCTAATTATTTCCATTTCACTCTTGCCCGATACACTCTAAAAAAAAAGAATAGCAGTTTAATTATTACTATAATTACCATTATAAAATGGATTATTATTAAATAATCCTCCAAGACTAACCATTAATTTCTTTTTTTGTCTTAAACGTTCTTTGCATAGAAACACTACAGCTGATTTGAATACAAAACACATTGCATGAAGTTCTAAGCCTTTTTTTATTTTTCCAAGGAAATCAGAAATATTTAACCATTCAACTCCTCCATAGTACAATAAATCACCCGGAGACAAGTCAATAGACTAAAAAAAAACACAATCAATATYATAGCAATAAATGTCAGCTATATTGCCATATTAACAATAACTTACTTGTTTACAAGATTTTTGATGTTGTCTGAATAAATGATCAAAGATTGCTCCATATTCTTCATGTATCCTTTGCATTTCATTAATATGTTCAGCGACATTTTCCATTCCCTTAAGTGCTTCTAAAATATAAAAAACATAGCTAATAATAAGTTTTTATTCAAACAAAATATATAATTTAAACATTTTAAAATTGATTATTTACTTACCAACGAGGTGGAGGTGTTGATCTGAATGAGGGTCAGTAAGATTCCTTAGTTGTTGTAGTAATAGTGGATATTTTAATATCCTTTGAATAGGTTTAATTAAATAAGATTCTAGAGAACAAGAATGTTGCTGCCGYGGATTTCTGGAGCATAGAAATTCTTGTAAAGCTTGATTGCCTTCATCTAGAAATAAATAATAATTGTAATTTATACATGGGCCCATTGGTAGTCTGATATTTTTATAATAATAGTAACTTACTAGGATTAAGTATTTTTTGAGCTTTCGAGTGACTTGCACAGAATGAACTGTACAACTTGAAATGATTGACATAATATAAGAAGGCGCTCCCGATTGAGAAAAGTATGTTCTATAATATAAATTGTAATTATGCATCAATTATTCGTATTACCTAAATTGTATTTTTTATGTATTTTAATAATTGTACTTTAAATTGCTCTGGTTGATCAAATGTATGGAAATTAGGTTCTTGGTGAACGGCTTCTTCTAAATTTTGTAGGAATTGATGTTGAAATTGAACAATTTCTTGGATATTACCAAATAGAACTGCTATTTCTGCTCCAGATAAAAATGTTTGGTGTTTAAGTGGTTCTAAATAATTCTCCAGTAAATTATTTAAGTGCTGTAAACATTTTTTATTTAGAGAAATATAAAAAAAATGCAATATAATATATGTAACTTGCAAAGTACATAGTATAAGTAATTTTAAATTTTTTGTGAAGTGTATATTTTTTGTATCATCATATAAGTCATTAGATGAAAAGTACCTTGATGTATGATTTTTCGGTATCTACAAGTTCAGAAATAACTTTTCTTAGTTTTTCAGCATCTGTCAACTGACGACCAATAGTTATTTGAGGATTCTGAACAGCAGAAATCACGGTTGGGCTAGTTCTTCTTGCTGGCTCTGGAGATCTACAGAATCCAGTAACTTCACCAGCACTCTAAGAACAGTAACATTAATATTGAAATATATATTTTTTGACTATTATAATTATTATAAATAATAAAACAGACCTTAATTAAATTTTCGATTTCAAAAGAATTTCCTCTGGAAGCAAGTTTTGAATCTTGAGTCATGTTATTAGTTTCCAATTCATAAATACCTTCCCTATCTAATAAAGAATTATAATAATAGATTTTATGTTAATAGTGTTGAGCGCATCATATCAACTTACTCCACCCTGGAGCAGGAACAATCAGTCCAGATATCATTTCTTCTGAGATCACTGGTGGATCAGTAGGTGGTGGAGGACACACTAACGATTGAATTATGTCGTCAGTAGTCTTTGAAATAATTCTTGAGCCTGAAGGTAATTGAGGAGGTTCGGTTCTGGATGATCTCATCATCATACTTAAAGAAAGTTCTTCTTGAAGAGCCGACTCCAAGTACATCATATCTAAATCACTTACTATCGCACTGTTAATTACCATAATCTCATCACCTTTAATTAAACCTATAATCAATACATTAAAACATTTGAAATTTAAATTGTACAACGAAATATTTATATTTAATATTTTAATTTATTGTAATAACAAATTACCATTTTGAATAGCAATTCCTTTGTCTTCTACTCGACTAACATAACAACAAAGTTCGTCTTGTCTTTCAGCATTTTCAATTAGTTCTGCTTCTACGGAAAATCCCCACATATGATCTAATGTATTTCTTTCAAGTTCTACTTGATAAAGAATTTTGGCACGAACTTCGACAACTTCGTGAGTATGCAACTAAATAAAAATATGAATTAGTTGAATTAATTAAATAAATATTATTATGTGTATATGCATTGAATGGAATGCTTACATAAGTTTCAATACTATCAGTTCGGTGAGGAACAAAATAATTATGATCTTCCATATCCCTTCTCTTTTTTACCCTGACAAAATGCTCCATGGGATTGAGTCCTTTTCTTGAACAAGATAATGCCAAATACTCATCAACTGTCATTCCCTCTCGCAAATGTATTTGTACCGACTACAGAACAAATTTACTACAATGAGTACCAGATAAAATTATAATATAAACATTCAATACTATTTTATTTAAGTCCATGGGCCAATAATTGGTTTGAATAAATAARTAAATATTATTTWTTTTTTTAATATAAAAAATTAATTACAATTAAATGTACATAGTAAAATATAAATTTTTACAAAAAAAGTTTTGCCAAATTACTGAAAATGTTAATTTTAAAATATCTTTTCATTATCCAGTTTAAGAGAAATGTATAACTAATAGGTAAGTATTTATTTTAACATTATGTTAATTAAAAACAAAATAAACCTTAAATATTTTTAAACCTACCATTCAATATTTGAAATTTGAAAATGATTGGATATTTTAATTTGATAATGGAAAAAGAATATAGTTTATGTTAAATTCAAAAGATATTATTTATAAAATAAATGTAATCGTGTACTTACTTGATTATCAGGTAAGGATACTTTCACAGTTTTTTCTGCGTCATCTCTAGATGTCGATGATTGCAATGATCTYCTACCTGAACTACTATTTGAACGAGATAAGATTGGAGCTTTTCTTTTAGTTGCACCACGTCCAGCCAAAAGATTGTTGAGCAATGACGGAGAACGAGCGCATATAAATGCATGTAGCGAAGATACAGTAAACACACCTAATTTGTTTAATGTGATTTTTGTGGCTCTGGATACACGTGTTAAAAGAATCTAAAAATGTTCATGTAGCAAATTATTTTCACTCTATTATCAATTAAATTCTGAATTAAAATATAATTAAGTAGTAGTATAATAGTATAATTTACATAATTTATTAAATAGGTAATTGTTTATGCGATTAATTTATATATAAACATAATTAGATAAATAATAATGGTAATATTTAATAGGCATACCTTGGGATTTGGAAGTTCACCATTCTGTAAACTAGCCATATAACATTTGAGACGAAACTGTTCACAATGTAGTCTTTCTAAATTCTCTTCCCATGCTAAAATTTGCTTTTTTATTTGTTCTTTAGTATCTGGGTCGGTTAGCATCTCTACTTGTACTTCAGCCATGTGTTTAAGTTTTTGATCCTGAAAAAAAATGTTTGTTATTATAAGGTGTAAATAATATATTTAATTAATAAAGTTAAAATTACATATTTTCGATTCAAAAATGTATAACAATAGACACATTATTTCCTCGTTTTTAAAAATTAAAACTAAAATATCATATAAAATACAGTTTGTCGTAAGTAAATAAAAAAATGCGGCTAAACAAACGTATAACCAGATTAATTACATGATGCAGGCAGACAGCTTTAGAAAATTATTTATTTTACATAGTAATATGCATTCAATTAAAGTGACACCTAAACATATGTTTGTTGTTTATCAAATATTTATGTAACTTCATAACGAATGCCAAGGAAGGTCATTTCGAAAATATTATATTTTAATACTCGTCCACTGATAAAACTAATGTAAACGATCATCAATCAAGCTGAATATGTAATCAGGCAAGTTGTATTAGTTAAATATTACATTAAAAATGTTGTGTGTGTAAGTTGTAGGTATAATAAAAACAAGACTAAAATTAAAATTAAAATTAATTCAGCAATAAATAGGTACTGATAACCAATAATATATATAGATTAATAGATTACATATTGATTGGGAGGAGGATCTAGTTATAATATTTAAATTTTTAATCACATAATTAAGCGGTACAAGTTTCAGCGATATCATAATATTCATAATATAATCAAATATGATGATTGTTAACACGGCACCTACTTATATTATAGACTTACCTACTATGCATAATTATTATTAAATATTTAAAATATATGTTAGAATTTTCGTTAATCATCAAAAAAAAAAATTATAAATAATATAAAAAGATAAAGTATAAGAATTTTAAGAATTTTAGACTTTAATGATGCAAATTACACTGATGTTATTATTAAATATTATTGTTTATTACATTGGTAAAGAATATGTAAGTACATACGATATACGAACAATACTTTTATCGACATGAAATAGGTAAATTAATAATAATAATAAACATAGATATTTTTAAAATACAAACCGCATCTATTTGTTTTTCGATTCTGTAAATTTCTTCTTGTAATAAATGAAGTGTTCCTATTTTTCCCCGATGCCTAGCAAACGCTGCCCCACATGCAGAATGTATGCTGTTCACCCAATTTTCCAATTCTACTTGACAAGGTGCCTGAAAAATAATCCACTTATTATTTTAATATTAACAAATTCATTTTTTCGTGAATTTTTTCTGTGAACCGATTGTTTTTTGATTAGTTGTTTTAAGTTAGTTAATTACTATCTATATACTGTCAAATGTTTAGTTGTGAATTTCAAAATTTGTGAAAATTATCATCTGTGTTCATATAATATAATATTAATATAAAATATTTGCCATTGTTATATTTTAAGTAACAAGCATTGTCAAAGTGTGCTAATAGTGTAAAAGCCTATAACTAGGTCAACCTCAATGATCAAATTCTAACACATCTATATTTGGTCTTGTGCAAGTATGATTAAAAAAAAACTTTGTATCTAATTTAAAACAAACATAGAAGATCATCAGATTAACTAACCAACTGAGTTTCTAAACTTTTGATTACATCGAACAACTATTTTATACTTCCAGAAAATAAATACTTTTTCATCCTGCTAAAATATATATATCATAATATATTTACCAATAAAATATAATTCAACACAAATAGTATTTTTATTTTTTTTTAAACTTTTTTAGAAATAATTTTAATAAACGAATTGTTGGTCATACTATACCTGAAATAAATAGGCGTCTCCAAAAGCTGTACTTAAACAGAAAATATAATCTCTCTTCGGGTGTTCTGGAATAGGTTGCATGATTGCTCCGTCCACGATAATGAGATGTTTTGGTGCTGCCTCTACACTTCGGCCTTCTCTTGAATCACATGGATAAAAGAGTAATGTAGTACCTTTAAGACACACCCAATATCCTTTCCAGCCTCTTTTTCTGGCAAGTTCAATTTGATGTTTTTTCCGTAATAACCATTTTTTTACGCTCAAAAACCTGAAATTAAAAACTAATAGATTAATTCATAGTCGCCTAAGTTTTATAACCATGATTTAAATTATGATAAATTGTACAATTTTACTAAAATAATTTTACATTAAAATTCCTCAAGTATTATATAGTAAGCGTTCTTTTTAGCTGTTTTAGTTTTTGATATTTTCTGTTGACGTACAATAGGATTTTTATTATAAAAGACTATGCAGGCTTTATTATGTTTTATTTCTTTATAATATAAATCTACAAAATATAGTAGTAGCTCTAAATGGAACAAAGGCAGTACAAGGGTAAACAAGTGGCTCTCATTGAGTGAAGGCTACTCAAATCTAAACTGATTTTACCATAGTGTGTCAAGATATTCACCATTAAAATGTTACAAAACAATTTTAGAAGTGGTATTGTATAATATTCAAGAGGATATAATAGAGTGATCACATTTATATAAAAAAGGAACAAATTYTAAAAAAAAGATATTTTTAAATTGTTTCATAATTCTTATATTTTAAAGATATTTTGGAGATAAAAATTCGTGTGCTGGAAATGTATTGCTGGAATAGGTGTTAATTTTGCGGGTTTAATATATCTGCTGTCCGTTAGTACAACACACTCGTTTCACAAAAAATATTTTTTAATAATTTTGGTTTCGATGAAAAGCTTTAAAATATAAACGGTACAAAAGTCCATCTTTTAAAAAACGGTACAAAAGTCCTGTCGCGTTTGAAGTCTATCTGGACAATGGGACATGATATTCAAAAAATACAATCTATTTTTTAAGACATTAAATTTATTTTTACAGTTTTAAACTTTTTAAATCAATAAAATCTGAATTTATTTTGTTAAAACTATAACGATGTATTTTTTTATTAATAAAAAGTTTGTTTTGTTATTTTTTTTTTTTAACTTGAGTGATACAAATTAAATTAAGCTTTTTAGCTTTGTTTTCAATTCTAAATAGAATAAAATAAAAACTGTGAATTAAAAAGCAAATACACTTAAGTTAATTTGATCTGTGTTAGTTACAAATGTTACAATATTTCGAATTATTACATTTGACTTAAACTCTTTAGCTCTATTTGCAGTATTATTTTTGTATGATTATAAAATAAATACAAACATACTACTCATTAGGTACGCCACATTTTAAGTGGCAATATTTCTGTAMAAATCTTTAAACAGTATTTTTTAATAGTTAGTAAAAAAAAAGTTGAAAAGTCGTCATTTCAAATATAATATTGTGTGTATAAATCGTATAGCGACGCAGCTTTAGTAGCATTGACGCAAATACTCAGTGTTTTCATTGCATGGTATATATGTAC